ATGCACGGGCATTCCTTTAGCACCTCACTATGGTGTGAACAGGCCCTAAGATTGCATTCACACCTGAGCCTGAGCTTTTACAGGCAATTTTCAAGCATTTTTAAGATGTGTTTAGACTTGAGCATTTTTGTATTAGCCAATGGAACGCTGGTTGCTAAGAGGAGGAAAAGGTTGTTTAGACATGAAAACTCAAATGTTTATGTGTTTTGGGGCACTCCAATTGAGGTCTATGGGGCCAAAAGTAGCTCATGTGCTTTTATGAGCATCACGCATGAAGCTACAGGTGCCAGAGAGCACACATTAAGGGCCAGTTCACACGGTATGCAGTTGTGATGCAGTCCGTTTATTTGACTGCTGCAGTCAAAATACATCACAATGCTTTCCTATGGGCTTTCTTGTGCTTAATTCACACTGCAATGGTGTGAATAAAGCACAAGAAAGCCCATAGGAAAGCATTGTGATGTATTTTGACTGCAGCAGTCAAATAAACGGATCACGCATCACAACTGCATACGGTGTGAACTGGCTCTAAAAACATGGGATTTGGGTTTTTGAGCATTTTGGAGCTTTGAAGTCCAAGCTACAAAATGCTCAGGTGTAAATCAGGGCTTACAAAGCTTTTGGGTGGCTTGGTTGAAGCTTTTGCTGTCAAATGTTGGAAAAACCCCACTATATGTTATGTGTACCTTTTCACACAGAATACCTAAAAATATATTTTTAAAAACATATTTATTACCTTTTAACCACTTGCTGCCCGGAGCAATTTCTTACATTTGCACACACATGATACAATCAGAATTTTTGGCTTGAAAACAGCTTCAGACCCCCAAATAATTATATAGTTTCTGAAAGCAGAGGCCCTGTAGATAAAAAGATGCTAGTTGCAATTTTTTATGTCGTAGGGTATTTGCGCAAATGTTTATCAAACAAGTATTTTTTGGATAAAATACTCTTAAATGAAATTTAGTGCACAGAAACAGAATATATTGCCCAATGTTTTGGTAAAACATAAGAGACGGGGTCACACTGGGTGAATGGATACCAAACATGTCATGTCTTTAAAATTGTGTGCGTCCCTGAAACCGCTAAAAACTACAATAACCAACATTTCCCTAGGCAACGCTTTTACGACTCATCAGTTTAATGCTAACAGTGATTGATGGGCCTAGAATTATTGTTCTCACTCCGGTGCGCGCGACAATATGTAACATGTGTGGCACAATTTTTGTTTTTGCACATATCCGACACGTGTTTGCGTTGTATTATGGTGGCGGGGGACTTAAAAAATTATTTTTTTGCATTTAAAATTTTTTTTTTATGTTACATTAATTTTTATTTTTATTTTTTTCACTCAGCTTTATTGCTATTGCGTAGGGGGCTAACAAGACCCCTATGTGTCAGGAACTGACACTGCTCCGTCTCCCGAGACCGTGGTGGGGCCAGCCTCCTTCAGAAGCGTCCCGTTGCTGGGCGACGGAAGGGCCGACCTCCGCTTACGGCTCCTCCCTCCTCACGTCAGCTTAGGAGGCATGATGACGCGGCGGGACCAGCCCAGCGGCGTCCCGTTGCTAGGGTCGGGCCTCGCCTGCGGCTAGTGTCAATCGAACTATAGTCCTCAACAAGCCCCAATGCTCTTCAATTGAGGCCAGTGGGAATTGCCTTCCTTTAATAATTCATTGGCTACCTGAGCTGGTGTATGATGTGCTAGGGGTTCCGACTTCACTCACTACCTTACAAAGTGTGACTGTGAACCCTCCACCTGAACCATCCTCAGTTACCTCCGCAGTTGTGATCCATCAACCTTGCTGTGCTTGCACGGCTCATTATGCAGGCCACTAGCTCGTACGATTCTCGGCGGGTTTTCTAGCATGCTGGTTCGATGGAAGACGTGCGACCGTACAGTAGAAACGGTCACACGCCTTCCATACACTGCACGATTATCGTACGATAGCGATCTCGTACGAGAATCGTGCAGTGTATGGGCACCTTTTAGAGAGCTTTCTGTTCATATCCTGCCCAGCTGGTAAGTCTCCCAGTACTCCCCTGTAGGAAATGCCAATTCAAATAATTCCTGACTTGAAATGGTGTCATCTGACATCAAATTAAAGTAGAACTGAATTTAAAAAAAATAAAGAATTGCTATGGTATAGAGAAAATCTAGAAATATTAATTGTGCCTAAACAGAAGCCTGAAGAATCTACCTTTTTCTGGAATTCCTCCTATAAACGTAGCTGTTATCTGGGTGTCTAGTCTCATAGCTCTATATCTGCAGTGTGAGATCTCAGGCGCTGCTGCCTCTGTCTTAGGGAAACTAAAGTGAGCTTTGGAGATGTCACTAATGTGCTGTTCAATGTTCTCCATACTGATGGTTTTGGCATAAGAAAGAAGAGTCTGCCTCCACCAAGATGGCTCCACAGAGAGTCACAGTTCAGTAGATTGCATGGCAAGTCAGTAATAGGAGCCTACAGGCAATACTGGTAACTAATGCTTTACTGTCTACCTGCCTTTATGTGGGCACAGCTTCAGAGTTCAGTTTCTTTGTCCAAAGTTTGTGCTGCTTCGACCCCCATTGCAGATATTCCCCATCACTCCATGTCTAGTTGTCACCAAGATAAAGATAACATCTTTTTTGTTGGCAATGACAATAAAAATGTCATAGAGGTTCTAAGCTTTCCCCACACAAAGTTAGATTTGAGTGCTTGCAGCTAATAGCTCAAGCTTCACCTGCTATTTGGAAATGAAAATACAAAATAATTACATGCATTATTTCAAATTTATTTGATTTGAGACAAGAAAAAATATAATTTGAACTTTTATCCCTCACCAAAAAAAATTAATGTAGGTAAAATCAACATTGCCCTTAAAGTGACCCTTTAATTTAAACATGCCTGTATCAAATACCCTCCTACAGAAGATTGTGAAATCTTCCCTTTCTTGCTGCCTACACCACCGACACTGCTTTATTTAGTAGAAATGGTCTCTTGAAGTCTATTGAGAAACCAGCACTTGAGGCTAGGTTCACACTGCACTACACCACGCGTCCCGGGTGTCGTGCGGTCCTGCACAGTGCAGGCAGCGATTGCTGCATGGCCCCATTTATTTCAATGGGGTGACATCCGTGCAGGTACAAGTACCTCTTTTTTGCGATACACGACGCACGGCTCTTTTAGCCGTGATCGTCTTTGGAAGCATGGGCGGAATCGTGGCAGGAGATCCGCCTAGTGCGACTGGGGTGCCATTAGAAAGTAATGGCACCCACAGCACGATTGGTTCACACCTTGGCGACTCCTGACAGCACCGCAATCCGCGGGGAATCATGCACAATTGCCGCGGGGTGGGATGTCGCCTAGGTGTGAACCTAGAGTGTTGATCTCCTTGGAACTTCAGCAGCAGGAACTGGTGAGGGCTGTGGGGAACATAGGAGATTGACATGCCCAGAAGTTTTTGTGGCTGATTTTATAAAGAATTCGTCCAGTGTATGGAGCTGATGAGCATAGAATTTCCATGCATAGAGCTCTTAAGCAGCTGATTTGGCAGGCCAAAAAATTGACAGGGGATCCAATCCTCCCTTACTCTATTAAAAAAAAAAAAAAAAACCTGTCTCTAAATACACTTCAAGCACTTTAGCTGTATACGCCTTGTGGATCAAAGCAATTTCTACATTCCACAGTTAATGGGTCTACTGATTTTATTTGGCACAAACAAGGCTTTCTCCTGATTATTGTCATGCAAAAATTGTTTTATTTATTTTTATTGTTTTATTTTCAGTGTATAGGCAAAAAATGTAACAAAATACAATCTTATTACAAACCACGGCAAAGTTATTCACAAATGAAATCCTTTCCCGAGCATTAAAAAAAAAACTTCACAAAGAAAAAATAAATAAATACAAATGAAAAAGAAAAGGTGTCAAAATACTGTAGCTAAGAGAAAAGCAAGGAATGAATTTATTAATTGCAATTCATTGTTGAATTAAATGTTTGTAAGGGGTTAATTAGAAGCACAGTTTATGTAATTGTAATTCAATGTGTGTATAAATTGTGTTATAATTATATGTAAATATGTCTGTGATGTGTTGTCTTTATGCAAAGTTTTTTTTTTACTGACATTAGAGTATATACAGATGGATGTCCGCCCTTAATTACAGTAATTATAAAGTAACAAATAACTTGTTTCTTCGCAATACTTATCATTACTGCAATGACTACACTGTTTTGATAGTGTCAAATTACACAGTAGCTGCTGCAGCCCCTTTTGTAATACAAAATAAGTCGCTGCTGGCAAAATGACAGCCAGGATTTTCTAAATTATAGATGTGGAGGAAGAAGAGCACGATATACAACAGACCCCTAAGTGTTTTGATGAAGTTTCCTAAGTGGGGGTGAAGTATGACCAAATGCCATTGGATGTCACAATAGTGACATCCATGTCCATCCAGTTTTTTCTTGAATCCAGTCCAGTTTTTTCAGAATCAGATGTAAATGAACTTGTATCCGTTTACATCAGATTACCTCAGGTCTGGCAAAACCAAATCCTGCTCCGTTTGTTTTTCCGGACCTGACCGCAGCCGGGTGTAACTGTATGTAAACAGACGTTCATCGGTTTAGATTTGGCTGCCCTTAGACTAACCTTGGGCTTTCCGATCAGGTCCACCTGAAAAACTGACAGGCTAACCTGATCAGAAAGCCCGTGTGAAAGGGCTCTTACAAAGACATGGTCACTGTGTCCTGAAATGAAAAGGTGGCAGTGTCACTGTAAGGCGAATCCTTTCTCCATCTTTGTTTCATTGAAGAATAGGAGTAGGCAACCTGTCTAATGGTGGTGCAGATTTTTGGTTAAAGAAGACACTCTAAGAAATTCTTTATAGACAGGCATCTAACAAAATATGTCCAACATTGTAAAAACATGGTGAAATGGAGCGGAGAAATGACAAATGCAATTTACAATGGGTAAAACTGTAACATGAATGTTTAACTTATTTTAATTTTCTTTTTTTTAGGATGGCCAATGACGTTGCTTCAGGTATGTCCTATTTTATTGTTAGCAAGGACCCTTCGTCAGGGCATCAATGTAACACACAGTGTGCAATGAAGGGTCCCTGCGTGGCCCTGACATGTCGGTTATAATTATTGCAACATGTATGATGATTTGTCCGATTAAATGGACTTTATCGTTTGAATGTTTTCCACCGAGTGCTGGTGATTCCTGTTCATTTGCTGTTTGATGTGCACGGCGCCATGCGTGAGTATCACTGCAAGCACCATTATTGTGATTCGGGCCGGAGACGCTCTGAGGAGTGCATGGGGACATATTGGACTTTAATACTATTTTATTGTTAGAGATTTACATCCATTAGCTTTCTTTCCAACTGGAAGGTATGTTCAAAGCCTCCTAACTCCAGGCAGATATTGAAGGCACTTATGAATGCAGCACTGCATTCATTGTTATCATAATACATCATTAAATGTTTATTTTTCAATGAAAGCAGTGTTAGTACCCAACTGTTTCTTGGTATCAGCCTCCTGCAGTCCCTGTGCAATCTGTAAAGAAGAGCTCAGCGAGGAGGAGGGAGGAACAGCAAAAAAAGGCTGATCAGGTGTGTTGAAGTTAGGATAGTCACCTTTTCTTCATGCGAAACCTGAACAAATCTGAATTTCTTGTGGAGAATATACAGGAGACAGCCAGGACAGAGAGCCAGGAGAGAGAGCAAGGAGAGAATTAGTTAGGAGCCTTACACTGACCGCCAATGTAACTGAGGTATATACACTGACCAGCAATGTATTGGAGGCATATACACTGGCCAGCAGTGTAACGGAGGTATATACACTGACCAGTAATGTAACGGAGGTATATACACTGACCAGCAATGTATCAGAGGTATATACACTGACCAGCAATGTATCGGAGGTATATACACTGGCCAGCAATGTAACGGAGGTATATACACTGGCCAGCAATGTAACGGAGGTATATACACTGACCAGTAATGTAACGGAGGTATATACACTGACCAGCAATGTAACGGAGGTATATACACTGACCAGCAATGTAACGGAGGTATATACACTGACCAGCAATGTAACAGAGGTATATACACTGACCAGCAATGTAACGGAGGTATGTACACTGATCAGCAATGTAACAAACCTATATACACTGATCAGCAATGTAACTGAAGTATATACACTGACCAGCAATGTAACGGAGGTATATAGACAGACCAGCAATGTAACGGAGGTATATACACTGACCAGCAATGTAACGGAGGTATATACACTGACCAGCAATGTAATGGAGGTATATACACTGACCAGCAATGTAACGGAGATATGTACACTGATCAGCAATGTAACAAACCTATATACACTGATCAGCAATGTAACTGAAGTATATACACTGACCAGCAATGTAACGGAGGTATATACACTGACCAGCAATGTAATGGAAGTATATACACTGACCAGCAATGTAACGGAGGTATATACACTGACCAGCAAGGAGGTGCAGAATGTATATATCAATTAACCATGATATTTACATATGAATGAGTCATGGCTTATGTGTATGTAAATAGTGCCACCAAATCATATGTAAATATCAGTCAAGCCTAATTTCAGTGGGGGGCCTTAATTTTGGTTGCCCCCATGATTGCCTGACATCTTGTGTCCGGGTTTTAGCTGCCATGAAACCCAGACACAGCATTCAGGTGGCAACTATAGCTGCAGTGCAAGAAATATGCTAATAAGAGGAGAGAACAGAGTGACCTAGATAAACTCACTAGTTTGCTGTTTCTCCTTTTTACTGTCCAATCACAAGGTGGGGATGATGAGGAAACCTGTCAGTGGAAGTGAAATTGCACCAGAGAAAAATCAGGTCTCCTCCCTTGCCAGACGAAAAGGTGCTGTATGGCAAAGTCTTAAATGGACGGAATACAGTAGATGTACATCAATGTAGGTTACAGCTTCCTTATAACTAGGGGTGTCCCTACATATTTTGCCACCTGAGGCCGGGTGGGAATACAATTGGTTGTTTGGGGATACATGTTACTAGGGGTTGGGTGGGGGTCAGGTGCTAGTAGTGATGCACCTTACAAGGTGTGTGAGAGCATGTACCGGGGTAGCGGTTTTGCTCGTTACCTCCATCTGGTGTCCTGCCCAGCTCACTGACATTACTGGTTGCCTGGAGCTGGGCGTGATGCTGGCCACAGCTCTTAGCAATCTGAGACACTCCGTTTGGAAAGGGGGTTGGCAGATATGCCCATGTGACCCAAAGACATGCCGCCTAAAGCAACTGCTTCAGGCTGCCTCATTATAGGGGTGGCCCTGCCTATATGCATTTAGCTGTGTACCTGGTATTAGGCTTTAATGGAAGCTGCACCAAAAATGCAGCAAGTCAGATCTTTTTTTTCAGTGCTGCAACATACCATAATGCAGAGGTGTGAATGCATCGTAAAAAAAACCCCCATCTTGATATAGGCTGAATGTGTAGATATCACAGTTATTATGGTGAAGCCAATGTTTAATGGAGAACTATGGGGTAAGTGTTTTTCCCCATAGTTCTCCTAAGGGTCATTGGAGGACAAACTAGCATCCTCCCGTGACCCAAAGCTCAGTATATCGCGAGCTACAGCTCGCCGTATACTGAGACCGCCGCAGCCGGGACGGTTCCCGGCATTACTGTTGAGATCCACCCAGCTTACGTGAGTGACAGCTGGCTCTGCCTATCTAGAGGCAGAGCCAGCTGTACCCGCCCCCTCCCCCGTCCGTTCCACCAGTCAGCGCTGGAGGCTCGGCCAGCGGGGAGTGGGGGGGGGAATCCCTGCAGGGAGCCATGAGTGACAGTAACGGCTCTCTGCAGGGACATGATCGAGAAGTGAGCGAGCGACGCTATATGTTTGCTCACTTCCCGATCTAAGTGTGAAAATCACTTGTCTCACAGTTCTCCTTTTCAGTAGACCTTTTCAAATTGATTTCATCATTTGATTTTTGCCCATGTGGGGTGTTTTGTGTTAATCTTAAAAGATGGGTGATCTGTTTGTGTCATAATTTGTGACTATTTGAACATTATCGAGTACAGCATGTCCTCAAATAAGTGTATTTTTATTTGTAGATTACAGCTGGGAAGTTAAAGCCAATGACATACAGTACCATGAAAAAATCAAGAAGCCAGGATTCCTCTGCTTCTGGAAGAAGAAATACTGTGTAAGTGGGAAGTGATCAGTTCACGAACGTAACTGACTCAAACGACTTTATGCTTTTTTTACCAATGGTATCCATATTTGCCAAATCCCAGTAGGGTAATGTTTTGTTCCAGGCTTCTTGAGAACAGGAAAGAAATTATTTTGCCCACAAGGCCACAGGATGCTGGTTTGCTGTCAACTGGGACAAACCTGCTAGAGGTTGTGAGAAATCAACTCTAAAGTGGAACTGCAGTATGATAATAACTGCTGACAGGTAGGCTTTTATTACAGAAGAACCTCTGTATGTCTCTTTTGCAATAAAAAGCTGCCTGCAACATGTTTCATGGGATTGGACATGCACAGCTCGGTGAACAAACATGGAATGCTTTAGGTGTTGGGTGCGGGGGCGCAGCCAGGGCTTAGTGTGGCAGGGAGGAGTGGGGCACACAGCCTGCAGCTTCTCCTCTGGATCCCTGCATCTTTACCCCGCTTATATGGGCAGAGGCAACGGAGATCCGAGGAGAAGTTGAGGGAGCAGAGCAGAGGAGGGAGTTGTCACTTTAGAATGGCCGAGCGGTGAGGAAAGAGAGAGAGAGAGAGAGAGAAAGACGCTCGGCCAGGATCTGACAGTCGGCGGCTCTCTCTCCCCTCACCGCTCGGCCATCCCCTTCCCGCCGCCTTCAGAGCTTCACTTCTCTTCGGATCCCTTCTGCCTCTGCCAATACAGGCGGGGAAGAGCAGCAAGGATCCGAGGAGAAGGACAGGCTGTGCCGTCCTCTGTGCGTGGCAGAGCAAACACTGGAGCGATCAGCTGACATTTACATCACTTCCTGTTCATTCATGAGTTTCTGAATGGGTAGTAGCATTCAGTACAGAGGCTTTCCATTCATTTAGAACACAGGCTGCAGAAAAAAAAAAAATCTATTTTAAAAGGGAAATGTCAGGGGCCTGTTTAGTCTAATGTCAGGGGTCTGTTTAGTCTAATATTTCCCCAAAGCCCCCCAACAGTAAAAAAATATTAAAATAATAAAAAGTAATACAAAATAAACACATCCTGGAGGGGGGGGGAGACGCATGACGTCACATGACGCTGCACGTGCGCAGCGTTGGGTGATGTCACACGCCTGTTGGGGGGAAGGGAGCACATTGCCTCGGGCACAAAAAGAGCTAGAGCTGGTGTGCATGTGTGGGATTTGCCTAATCCTAGGCAAGCCATTCAAGAGTCCTGAAGATTCTGAACCCAGAAGAAGACCAAACAAAGATGTCAGCAGCAACAAGGTAGATGGCAACAGTCGCTGGAGAGTTGGCAAGTGAGGGACTTTAATTCCACTTTAATAGTCTTTTTCTTTTCAGTTTGTTTCATTTATCTTTTCGGCATAATGTTTAAAACCTAAAAATAGGTTTGTGTGGACAAACAGGCTAAAAAAAGGCCAGAATGGTGCCGCGGTTTCCTTCCATCTCCAGGAATAAAAATAGTAAATACCTAAGGTTTATGCGGATAATTATTTTGATAAGCTCTGATATTCCATATATAATTTGTACCTGTTTTCTTTCTTTCAAAGGGCAACAGAATAAAAACTTCAAAGTACAACTTTTTTACATTCATACCGCTAAACTTGTATGAGCAGTTCCAAAAGGCCCAAGTGATCTATTTCACCTGTATATTAATTCTTCAGGTAAGGTCTTCTCTTCCTCCGGCTCTCCTTCGGTCTCTCCTTTTATGCTCTTCATGGGGCTCTTCTTTCTCCTAAATAGTAGACATGTGCACTGCCAAAAAATGTGTTTTAGTTTTGTTTCGTTTTGATTTTGTGTTATTTAGTTTTTCGGGATTCCGGTGTAAAAGTCAATGCGGATTCGGACGAAATTCGTTAGCAGTAGTTTGTTCGAACGTTCGTTTTTGTTTCTTATTCGTTTCGTTTGTTCGTATGCAGCAAAGTGACATTTGAGGGGGAAAAAAATGTTTGTCTCCTTCTCTAATGTCACTTTGCTCCAATGAACGAACGAAACGAATAAGAAACGAAAACGAAACGAATGTTCGAACGAACTACCACTAACGAATTTCGGAAACAGAAATTCGGATTCGTTTGCATTCGTTATATCTGTAATTCGGATACATCCAAATTTCCAAAAATTAGTCCGAATTTCGATTCGAAACGAATCGCACATGTCTACTAAATAGTGTTATATGGTTATAAATTATGTTTTGACTGATGGAAGGCCTACTGTCACAATTTCCGGAAATCCGTGCCGGATTTTCACTTTGCTCCCTGGTTCTGGGCTGTCAGCCTATAGTGTCTCAAAAGGCTACAGCCAATCGGATCTCCTCCCCCCCTATTTAGGACTTCCTCACTTGTTGCTCTTGGTGTGAGCAACAAGTCTTATGCCTTGTTCCGTACGCCTTGTGGCTCTAACTATCCCTGGGATCTTATTCCCTGCGCTTACTAGTGGATCCTTGTGCCTTTGGCTTCCCTGTACCAGCTGGTATGCCTGTTTAGCGTTATCCCCTGCTTTGCTCCTTGCGCCCCTACTATAGTATTTTAGTGGTTACCTTTTAGTATATTGCTGCAGACCTTAATTGCTTTCATCTGTGTGCTGTCAGTCTCTGTATACTGCCTTCATTGCCTCACTTCTACTGTGTTTTCCCTCTCCAGCCTTTTGTCCTATTTATTTGCTTTTGTTGTACTTCAACTCTGTTAGCTACCCTCTTCAGTATACTCTGCTGTTCTGCTGTGCATTTTGCACCTTTTGCTTGGGCCTCTCTCTCTCTCTCTCTCTCTCGCACAATTTACGCTACTAAGAATTACAGTAGGCACAGAGTAATATCCTATCTGCATTGTGTATACTGCATGGCCCCATCAAATACCAACTGCTTGAAAGGTCACTCTCCCTTGTAAAGTGGCAGGTTGTTGCACAGTTTTTAAAATCTGGACTACCCCTTGAGCTACTTCAGACACCTGAAGGATATGGCTGAGCCTACTGGACATCCACCAGGTCCTAGGCTCCTGCCTGCATTGCCTTGTGAATGATCCAGCGCCGCTTGTAGTAAACCGTATGCTACCAAGTGCATATGAGTGAGTGTATGTGTTGTGCTATTTAGAGGATTGGGGATCACTGCAGGCATGCAGAACGCCAAATCGGATATCAGTTTTCTCCTCTAGGCCAGCTATCTCCCCATTCCCAACAACTGCTTTAAAAACTGCCTTTCACCCACCGATACATATTTCGCACCATTTTGAGGTGCAGGCAACATAAGCGTGTTGAATATTTAACTCTTATGTTTATTTTACTAAAGTCCTAAAGTCATCATGAAAATGATGCATCAAGCAGAATTTCTGATTATCAGGCTGTGTGTTGCAAGGAGTAGTATACTGCTCCCCTCTGCGCTCAGAAGAACTCTTTCACACAGCGAGCTTTTCTACATTTTCTTAATTAATAGATATGCCACCAAGAACTCTAATCAATGGCATATCTACTTACCTAAAGCCAACTTATCACTGCACGTCTATGGGCTACATCAGTCCTTGTTATTCCATTGTGTTGTCCATAAACCCAACTCCATAGAAGCCATGGCTTCCATACTCTGCACTGATGATGGCCAACAAGCCCAAACAGCTGTATGTAGTTTGGAATACATGGTTCTATAATATTAGACTGTATCCGTGCTATAAACCAGCAGTTGCGGAAGTGCAGTTGTCCACAAAGGGGCACAAAACAATTATTTCCATGGCTCTGCTCATTATCCTAAAACAAGGATAAACTGACTTTGTAGAAAGCCTTATTGCTACTACCTTCATTGCTATCCCCTTTACATATTCTGCCTATCTCATTTCGCTGTGCATATTCCTCTTGATATTCTCTTTTATATTATAATATATAATTGTTTATTACAGAGCATTCCAGAGATTGCAACCTTGCCTGTATACTCCGCCGCAGCTCCACTACTCTGTATTCTGGCAGCCCGCGCTTTCAGGGACTTGTTCAATGACATTGTAAGTTACTAGTTGCTTGAATTGAAGGGAAACTATATTGGTTTGGGATCATTTTTTATTTTTTTTTAAAATTCAAACTGATTTGGTGCCCCTCTCCCAACACCCCCTGCCTTGCTTCCTGGGCTCCGCTGGCCCTCCTGCGGGCCTGTGACCGACATTGTACGTGTCGGCGGGTAGCAGGAAAAGAGACCAGTGAATGTTCACTGAACTCCTCCCTGCTAAAGCAAGCCAGAAGTGATGCTGACTGCACCACTTCTAGTTTTTCAGCTGTCATTTCATGGCTAGAGAAGCCAGGAAAGAAGCTGATCAAGCACGATATATGCTTGATCAGCTACTTTGAAGTGCAAAGGTGACACTAGAGGTCAAAGGGAGAAAAAAAAGTTTACAAGAAATAAAATTTAAATTATTTTTAAATTCAAAATAATTTTAAGTAACATGTCCCTACCCGAACACACACATACTAATGCAAACACATGTTGGGTGTGCCTACGTATGAGTGAGAGCAATAATTGTAGGGCCAATTCACAGCTCTAAATTGATGGCCTGTACAGGATTAACTGTCACCTATGGACAATTTGGGGTGCTGTATTTTTGCTGTTTTACGCGCGCATGCAAACTTTAAGCTTGACATGTTTGGTATCTCCTTTACTCGGTATAACCTTATCTTTTATATTATATTAGCAAAATTAGTGTTATATTGTGTTTTTGTGTATTTTTTTACTGAAATTTTGGGCTTGATAAAGAGTTGTGCTAATAATATGCAACATATTTTATTCTACAGGGTCTGTGCTTTCAGGAAATATATAATTCTGGGGGGGTTTAAGACATTTCCTGGCCTAAAATGTGGATTATACCATGTGTGCAAAAAACAAACAAACGCATAAAAACTCTTGCAGGGAAAGGGTTAAATAGAGTACCTGAGTATCTTTTTTTTTTTTTTGCTGTCATTTCATTGTGAACTTCACTTCCTCCACTTGTTCTTGTGACCATTTTCACCTAGATAGAAAGAGGTGGGAAATTCAATTTTTTTGTTTTTACTATAAAATGAAAAAATATTTTGAAGAAAAAAAAAAAGCAGGATCAAGGGGGAATGAACAGGTCACTTACAATGAAGGAGAAGGGTTAATATATAGGTCACATAAAGAGAAAGTATAAAGATCATATATATAGGAGAGGAGTTTTTTAAAAGGTCAAAGGTTTTTTAAAAAGGCTAATGAGAAATCAATGCTGCTGATCCATTCATTTCTTATTCATAATTTACTATGATCCCTCCCCTTCCTCTGTTGTAAGAGGAAGGGGATGGATCAACCATGTAAACATTAACATGTGATCACAGTTATTGGTCATCATAGTGATTATATGGGAAAGAAGCAGCTTGGATTAGCTTGGCACACTGTCCCTCTTTATTGAGCTGTCTAAATCCAGTTCAGTACACAGTGATTAGCAGGTAGAGGAACCGCCTGAGGGTCTTTCCTTCAATTGCGGCGAAATAACAGTACCTCAATTTGTCATTTAAAAAAGTTTGTTGATAGAAAAGCAGTTGGAACTGTTGGGGGCCAAACTGTGAGTGAAATGGAAAATAAACTCTAATATGTCTTTGCATAATCTGGCTTGTACTCAGCTTGCCCACAAAGGTTGCAGTTTACCCTGTTTTATATCTGCAGGTTGTCCTGTTTTTAAAGTGACTACACAGGCCAGGGGGAGTGAAAAGTACCCAGCATTGATGGTCAGGGGGAGTAATAAATAGCTGGTGTTGATGGTCAAGGGTAGTTAAAAATATTCAGCGTTGATGGTCAGAGGAGTAAAAAATACCCAGTATTGATGGTCAAGGTGAGTAAAAATACTTAGTGTTGATAGCAAGGAGGAGTAAAAGATACTCAGCACTGATGGTCAAGGGGAGTAAAAAAGACCCGGTGTTGACGGTCAAGGGGAGTAAAAAATACCCAGCGTTGATGGTCAAGGGGAGTAACAATACTCAATGTTGATAGCCAGGGGGAGTAAAAGATACTCAGTGTTGACGGTCAAGGGGAGTAAAAAAGACCCAGCTTGATAGTCAGGGAGAGTATAAAATACCCAGCGTTTATGGTCAAGGTGGGTAAAAATACCCAGTGTTGATGGTCAAGGTGAATAAAAATACCCAGCGTTGATGGTCAAGGTGGGTAAAAATACCCAGTGTTGATGGTCAAGGTGAATAAAAATACCCAGCGTTGATGGTCAAGGTGGGTAAAAATACCCAGTGTTGATGGTCAAGGTGAGTAAAAATACCCAGCGTTGATGGTCATGGTGAGTAAAAATACCCAGCGTTGATGGTCATGGTGAGTAAAAATACCCAGTGTTGATGGTCAAGGGGAGATAAAAAATACCCAGCATCGATGATCACTTGGGCTTGGAAAAAAATGCCCCACCAAATACTATTAAGTGGAAGGAAAAAATGCCTAGGATTATAGATCCATTGCAGGAAAAATGTCTTGCCTCTAGTCAGAGGAGAAAAAATGCCCTGGTATGACAGATCCATGGAAGAAAAAATGCCTGGTGCCATTGGTCAGTTAAGGGTCAAATGCCCCAGCGTTGTGGGAGGAAAAATTGCCCTGGCATCAGTAGTTGGAATAAATGCCCCACTGTTTTGGGAGGAAAATTACCTGATATTAATAGTTGGTAAAAAAAAGAAAAAAGCCCTGACTTACTCTTACCACAGCAGTCCCACAACTCATTCACTCCACGGGCCGTGGTCCAAATCCTGCCCGTGGGCTGTAGCTTGGGGTACTTGCTTTAAATTCGTTCATAACAACTAGTACAAGTGCCATATTGGTTTCCTCCTGTATTTCCCTGCAATGCAACTTTGACTGAGACAGGGAGGCCCAGCAGTATAAGCCAGTTAGTCTTCTCTGCATTATACAATGCTGTCAGCCTGCCATCAGAATTTGCTGACTAGATGAATGAGTAGAATGATAGACTGATCAGTACGTTGAAACACCTTCATTGTGCAATCTTAGGCAAGGTGGGTGGGGCAGTGACACGCTAGAATGCTTAACTGTGGTGCCACTGATTTGGCTGTGATGTCGAAAGGGGTACCTTGATCACAAAACTGCTTGAACATAATTCAAATATTTTGGCAGGTCAACTGGTTCTTATTTGTATTTAGCTGTTTGCTTGGCGGGGAGCTGATGGGGTATTGCATGCAAGTTTCCCTTTTTATAACCACTTCATAAAAAGGTCGTAGGCCATAAGTGTCTGGTGACCACATTTTATCTTTTATTCTATGGAAATGCGATTTTTTTTTTAAACCTTTCATATTTTCTAGGCCCGTCATAAGAATGATAACATGATTAACAATGCTTCCAGTGATATACTTAGAGACCAAAGGTAAGATCTGAGTGCTGCCTTACTACAATTCAAATGGGTTACCAGAATTGGAGTTATTCGTCCTGGAAGGTTGACAGATCTGGTTGAATATAAGCCCAAGTTCTCCTCCTGTAGCTGCTCTATTCCAGAACTTAAGTCTCTTCTCTTATTTCTATCTCTCCTTGGCCTATGTCAAAAAAATTACCAATAAGTACTAGGGATGCACCCGAAATTTTGGCCGCCGAGCGGTGAAGTGGAGGTGAGAGCTGTGTGTCTCTCCTCCTGTACCGCTCAGCCTCCCATGACAGTTCATGAGAGTAGCAGCGTGGGGGCGGTGACAGCTGTCAGCTGTCACAGGAGGCTGAGCTCTCCTCCCGCACCGCCCCGCTTAGCCTCCTGTCACAGATCGAGAGAGTGGTGGTGTAGGGGCAGAGACCGCTGTCAGCTGTCACAGGAGGCCGGGCAGCGGTGCGGGGCAGGAGTCAGCTGTCAGAGGAGACCAAGCTCCCCTCACCACTCACTCCTGTGACAGCCGATCCAGGATAGAGAGCGGGTACAAGCACCCAGTGATTAGTGATCACTGAGTGTTTGTAAATAATTGACATAGTTTGTTTACTGTGTCCCAAATTATGAATGAATGGGAAGTGATTTACATCACCTCCTGTTCATTCATGATTGTGGACATGGTAAACATACTATATCCACAAGTTATGAATGAACAGGAACACTCAGTATAGAGGATTCCTGTTCATTAATAACAGGGGCTGCAGAAAACAAGATTGAGGACTTTGTGTTCTCAATCTCTTTTCCTATTTTAAAAGGGAAATATCAGGGGTATGTTTAGACCCCTAATATTTCCCCGAAGCCCCCAACAGTAAAGTTTAAAAAAAAAAAAGTATTTAATAAAAATAAATAAAAATAT